ACTGGAAACAAGAAGCAGCGACAATTGAAGCTCAGAGTGGTGAAGGTAAAGTACAGGAGATTGATGGAAAGAAAGATGGTGGCCAAATCACCAATGCTTGTAACACCATTTGTAATGTGACAGAGGCTGGTGATATTCCTGTGAGCATGGGCATAGTCCCTATCTGGCTGTACCATAAGGACAGTCCCAAACACAAAATAAGAGTCTGTGCTATTCTTGACAATGCAAGTGGTGGAACTTTCATTAAAGAAGAGTTGTTGGAAAAGCTTGGCGTTAAGGGAACTGAGACTAAATTATTGCTAACCACCATGCATGGCATACAAGAAATTGACACCAAGGTAGTTGACGGATTGGTGGCAGCTCACTTTAGTGAAAATGATGTACATCTAAACACTCCCAGAGCCTATGTTAAGCAACACATTCCAGCAGACCGAGATGAAATCCCTAGACCAGAGACAGCTAGTGGATGGCCACATTTGCAAAAAGTCGTTGAGCACATACCACTGTATATGGAAGATGTAGAGATAGGGCTCCTGATTGGACTTAGCTGCCCTAGTGCAGTATGGCGAAGGGATATCATTCATGGAGAACAGAACGATCCATATGCTGTACGGTCACTTTTGGGATGGCACATTAATGGGCCAATTGAATGCAAAGGCAACGGTGTGGTGCATTGTAACAGAATCCAGATCCACAAGACCATTGCTGCTTAGGATGTTAGTGGCTACATAGTAGCTGAGAGAAGCGTCAAGGAACAGATAACGCCTCGAGTTGTACAAATGTTTGAACTGGACTTTTCTGAAAGGGAAAACAGAACAGCTATGTCTCAAGAAGATCGTGAATTTCTAAGGAAGGCTGAGGAGGGAATTCATCACCGTGAGGACTTACAATATGAGATGCCACTCCCATTCAGAGAAGAGAATATCCAGCTCCCAGATAACTGCCCTCAAGCAGTTCAGCGACTTGCTGGTTTGAAGAAGAGGCTGCAAGCAAATGACAAGTACCATGCTGATTATGTTAACTTTATGGCTGACACAATAGACAAGGGACATGCTCGTAAGGTAGACTCTGAGAAGTTAGTAACCCAGAAGGGTAAGGTGTGGTATCTACCTCACCATGGCATTTATCACCCGAAAAAACCAAGTAGCATCCGTGTGGTGTTCGACTGTTCAGCACGCTATCAGGGAGAATCACTCAATGACCACCTTTTACAGGGTCCTGACTTGACCAGCAAACTAACTGGCGTGTTAACAAGATTCAGACAAGAGAAAGTTGCCTTTATGGTGGATGTTGAAAAGATGTTCTACCAGGTTAAGGTGAAGGAAGAAGATCAGGATTTTCTTCGTTTCCTGTGGTGGCCCAACGGAGACTTGGCAGTGGAGCCTGAAGAATACTGTATGACAGTGCATCTGTTCGGTGGTGGATCTTCACCAGGCTGCTCAAACTTTGCGCTCAAGCGTACTGCAGGTGATAGTGAAGCTGAGTTTGGTGTGAAGGCTGCAGAAACGCTTAAGAAGAACTTTTACGTCGATGACGTATTGAAATCAGTGCCGACAGAGGAAGATGCCATAGAACTTGTTCATAACGTTAAGAATATGTGCGCAAAGGGAGGATTCAACCTCACGAAGTTCGTCAGCAACAGTCGAAGAGTGATTATGTCAGTATCGCCCGAAGATAGAGCAAAGGAAATTAAGGGCCTAGACTTAGGTCAAGACAGGCTTCCCATAGAGAGAGCTTTGGGCGTGCAATGGTGCATTGAATCAGATGCGTTTAAGTTCAGGATAGAGTTGAAAGATCAGCCTTGTACTCGTAGGGGAATGCTGTCAACAATCAGCTCAGTCTATGATCCTTTGGGATTCATAGCGCCTGTCATCCTCGTTGGAAAGCAGATATTGCAAGAAATTTGTCACAGCAACAGTTGGGATGACCCAGTCCAAGGTGATGTTCTTGCCCGTTGGGACAAGTGGAGAAGTCAACTACCCCTCCTAGAGCAGCTCAGCATTCCAAGGAGCTTCAAGCCCCCTGACTTTGGTCAGATTGTCTCAGCGCAACTGCATAATATGTCGGATGCTTCAGAAACTGGATATGGGCAATGCTCGTATCTACGCTTAGTTGATGACAACAATCAGGTACATTGCTCTTTGGTCATAGGCAAGGCACGCGTTGCGCCAAGGAAAACAGTCAGCATTCCCAGGCTAGAACTAGCAGCTGCTGCTGTCTCAGTAAGAGTGGCTGATGTGCTCAAGAACGAATTGGATTATGAGAGAATAGAAGAGTTTTATTGGACGGACAGTAAGGTGGTTCTTGGGTTCATCAACAATGAGTCTCGAAGATTCCATGTCTATGTGGCAAATAGAGTGCAGTTGATACGAGATTACACTTCACCAGCACAATGGCGATACGTAGAGTCGGCATCAAACCCGGCAGATGAAGGTTCGCGAGGTCTGAATGCAAGTGATTTTCTGCAGAAATCACAATGGATCAATGGTCCAGGTTTCTTGTGGCAAAGTGAAAATCATTGGCCAAAGCAAGGTTCATATGAAGATGAAATTGACCCCAGCAGTCCAGAAGTGAGAAAGATCACTGCAAATTCTACCATCGTAGAAGAGAAGAAAGACATGCTGAGCAGGTTAGAAAGATTTTCCAATTGGCAAAGGTTGAAGACAGCGATCGCTTTATGCATGATGTACAAACAGCGGCTGAAAGTGAGCATAAGCAAAGCAATTAGTGGATCTTCAGCGAAAAAAACCTCTCAGAACAGTGATCGAAATAGCGATTATACAAGTTGTTCTGTTGTTGTACCTGTTATGGTGAACGACTTGGAACAGGCCGAAATAGAAGTTATCAAGTTAGTGCAAGCTGACGCCTTTGAAAAAGAAATTACAGTCTTAAAGGGCCTTCAAGCTGATGGAAAGCGTGAATGTCGACAGGAGGATAAAGATAAAAATGTTGCAATGAAGAGAACCAGCAGTCTGCATACACTGGATCCATTTTTGGATAGCAATGGGGTTCTAAGAGTTGGAGGACGGATCAAAACCCCTATCATCTTGCGGAAAGCTGGCCATGTCACAACACTGATAATCCGTCATGTTCATGAGAAGACCCAACATAGTGTACGAGGTGTCACGTTGAATGAGCTATGCACAAACGGTTATTGGATCATTAATGGGAATGCAGCTGTCCAGCATTTCATCTCAAAATGTGTCAGTTGTCGCTACCTTCGTGGAAGTACTGGAGAACAGAAAATGGCCAATCTTCCAAAGTCACGTCTTGAGCCTGCGCCCCCATTTACATACTGTGCAGTAGACTATTTTTGACCATGGCATGTTAAGGAAGGCAGGAAAGAAGGCAAAAGGTATGGAGCGTTATTCACATGTATGGCTAGTCGTTCTATCCACATTGAAGTAGCACACTCAATGGAAACAGATTCATTTCTACAAGCTTTACAGCGTTTCATTAGCTGAAGAGGGCCCACAAGAGAGCTCTGCAGTGACCAAGGAACTAATTTTGTGGGAGCAGACAACGAGTTGGAGAGGGCGCTCCAAGAAATGGATGATGATCAGATTAAGGCAGAGCTTCTAAAGGATGACATTGACTGGGTTAGGAACCCCGCCACAGCAAGCAACTTTGGAGGAGTGTGGGAAAGGCAAATTCTGTCTGTGCGAAACATTATGGTGGCACTCATGAGAGAACACAGCCACAGTCTGGACAATGAAGCGTTGAGAACCTTAATGTGCGAGGCCGAAGCGGTTGTGAACAGTCGCCCCCTTACGGTTGACACCTTGAGTGATCCACTTTCACCACAACTGCTTACCCCAAACACCCTTCTAACTGGCAAATCGAAGCTCATTCTTCCACCTCCTGGAAAGTTTCAAACAGAAGATGTCTATTGTTAGCGACATTGGAGGCATGTGCAACACATTGGTAATGAGTTTTGGGTCCGATGGAGCAAAGAGTACTTACAGAGCCTACAAGTAAGAAACAAATGGACAAGACAACATAGAAATTTTACCGAAGGTGATGTTGTATTGCTGAAGGACAACAACACATGCAGAAACCAGTGGTCTTTGGTTAAAGTGCTCACTACTCATCAAGACGATCAAGGTCAGGTCAGATCAGTAACTGTCCGAACTTCAAAGGGATCCACACTGGATTGACCTATTAACAAGCTGGTTCTTCTGCTAGAGTCATCGCAAGAGAGACTGGGAATCCCTGACGAGGAGCCATACGAGATTACAGAGTGAATTGAAGTATAAACATTTAGCAGAGACACTGTAAGATCTAGATACAGAGACATAGAATAGGATGAAGGACTGTTTTGTTTAAAATGACGAACATTTTAGAGGAGCCATATAAATGCTACTGCATTGAGTTGAACAGTGGTATTGCGCACTAGGCACCAGTTTTCCCTTGATGTAGAGTCACGTGACAAAAAAGCACATGAGTTTTGCTGTTCCGAACAAGGTCGAACCTTGGCAGTTTGTAAAGGTACTATTTTCACCTCAGTTCTTTCGTCAAAGACTGTGATAATTCTGAACTACACGCCGGAAGTCTTAAGGCAAGGAAGGTATGGAAGACTTGTGTATCAGATGTAGCAAAATTAAAGATGTGGCAGTTCGTTTACAAGCCGTGGGTATGATCTCTTGGAACTTACCGACGGTCACATATTGAGATATATAAGATGCTAGAAAATGGAGCAATGTTTTCCCAGGAAAAAATTCAAACCAATGTTCCTGGATTTTTGTGGAAAACATGTGGTGCAGAGGGTGTATAAACAAAATCAGACCTAATCCCTGTCTGAAGCTCCAAAACTAAGGGCTAATAAATTTTCGATACACATGGTTTGGATGAGTGTTGATGTAGTGGGGGTGATGACATGTGAAACGAAAGAGAATGTATCAAAGACCAGAGAGCAGGTACATGATGATAGGTATTTATGATCTGCCCGGAACAAAATGGAACAAATATGAACTTCTCTGTACTCATAAAATAATGTTTCTTTAGACAGACAGCTTTACTTTAATCACACATTAAGGGTCACTGTGGAAGCAGCTCAATTGTTTCTTTGTTTCATTTCTTTTAGTGCTGGAAATTTGTGACAAATCTTATGAATTCACCATATCAGAGGTAATTACAGTAACGGCAATAGTAGTAAGGACCTTAAGATACAAGGACAGGAAAAGCAGTGGATGTGGGAAACTTTTGCAGGATCTGTCTTGTAACCAAAGACTACATGCTTAAGATGTGTATTTTCATATAGGACAGCGAAATCAATAGCAAAAGCTTTTCACACAACCAATGATGACATCCTCTATAGATGGTAGAAATCTTATCTTTTTAAGCCTTATTGATGGTAAAGAGATGACCCTGAATTTATTCTTCTTTATGTATATGAGGCAAACGTCTCTGTCAGTATTCAATAATGAATCTAGAATATCTTTATGAAGAAATTACATGTATACATGCAAATGATCTGATAAACCTGTGTCAGATGGCTTTTTGCCACCAGAGCATTTGAGAATCCTGACTTTAGGTGTACATATAATATTCCCAGCTTAGTCAATCAAACCCATTTGAAGTGAATTTCAATCAATCTGAATCCATGGATTGAGTTCGGCAATCAAACGAAGTTGAATACACAAAATTGGACAATTGAACTCAATCTAGTGCGTGATTTGCAAACTCTTGATTTTTGTAAAACTGGTGTTGAAAAGCAGTAAAACATTTTAGGAGGCTGAAATACCCTCAGTATAACATGTGTTTGTGGTGTTTCTCAGACCACATAAAATGACCTTTGTTCAAGGGAATTTATTCACCAAACAATCGAACACAATCCATTGGAATGTGTTCAATTAGGTTCAGTTGTCAAACTTGCTCAAACACAATTTCATGGATTGAATTCAATTGGGTCCAGTTTGTTTTTTTCACTCAATAGATGCTTTCAAGACACTTGTGCAAAATTATCTAAACTGTACTTAACACTGATTTATTCTTGATGCATATTTTCTTTTGCTCTTCCACAATTACATCCATTGGTGACAGAAACATGAGCAGACAAGGAATATAGTATCACATTTTCCACCATATTATTTTTACTCTACAGTCACAAAAAAAAGCAAACTTAATAAACATTTTCATCAACATAACTGACAATAACATGGATTGGAACAGTTGTTAAACCAAAACAAGAGTGAAATACTTACATTCTTGATACCATGGCTAAGTGCTTGGTATGGCATCCTTGATGAGAAGAGGATGGCAGAGAGATGAGTTGAGAGTTCTCTTGCACAGGCCTGGTTGTGTAAATTTACTTCCTGTACCTATCCTACACTAGCTTGTCCTGTCCTGATATATTAAGGTCCCTAATTATTGGAATGATGATGATATCTGCATTATTTATAAAGTAGGAAGCTTAAGTCTCAAAGAGATGTAAAAATGTCTTCTTCAGTATTAGAGATTTATCACTCTCTTTGTGGCTTCAACAGAAGTTATAATAATGGTGTTAAATAGAATTCATCAGTTTGCAACTTATTATAACTGTCATAACTGTGTGTAACAAATTAACAAATTATTTGTATAGGCATAGCATGATTTCATTGGTTATAGTGTATACTTATTTCTTTCTTTATTTATTTATTTATTACAATTTAATCACATCAAATCAACAAAAACAGAGATCCAATAAGGGTAGTCCTTAAAGGAGTCATACACCCCACACTCAGACAGTCCACCTACATTATAAATATATGAAAAAAAATTAAAATTAATATATTATATAAGCTAACCAGTTCAGTTGGTATTCATTAAGAAGCTCATTACACCATGCTCAAAACTTGAAATACTAAGCACTGATCTAACTATAAATGGTGGCAAATTCCACATGTCTACAATACAATTAAAAAACTATGCTGAAAAGTGTTTGTTCAAGCATTGTTCTTCTTTAAAGTAAGTCTATCTTTTTGTCTCAAAGGGTACCTAGCAGTATTAGAGTAAAATTGAACATATGAATTAAGAGATACTAAAGCAGGATCAATCATTGTACTGTAGGATAAAAACTACTGATTGTAAAAAATAACAGCAAACAAGTGAAATTATAATGGTGATAATCAACAGATAGAAATACCAAATATAATTTTCATTAATAGTGTCACTTTTGTTTAGTGCGCAATAATTTTAGAATCATTATAGTTTGATGCTGGAGTGATGCACTAAACAAATAACTCTCAGAAGAAAGATGTAATCAGGAAACAGAGATGATTTGTAGTTTTTTGTACCAAGGTAATTAACTTCTTTTTGGTCCAACAACTCAGCTGACCTTAACTCCTCAAGGACAAAGTCAACAGTGCTAAAAACGTTTTTCTTTGGTGCTTGATTGTAATCCTTTAAAGCATTTTCATATGACATCATTAAAAGAGCCACCAAAGTTTTTTATCCTCATCAAGCATAATTGAAGGGTTGGTAAAAACCATGCTAAGTGACGATGCGGGTGAATTTTTTTTGGTCAAAAGTGCCTAAATTTTTGCATATGGTCATCAATGTAATAGAAGAAAATTGTTGTGTATTTTTGTTGCTGGTTTTTGCTTTGTTTTTAAGCTATAACATATGCAAAAACACTTGGCTTTTCTTAGCTGCGTCTTTAGGAGTTTATTTGTTGAACAAATCTCAAATGAAGGGCCTCATTCTCAGTAAATTGACTGACCTGGACTTTTCTCACTCGTTTGCACATCGTTGGAAGAAAGTCTCCCTGTGACAAAATAGCTTTCTCTGGAGCAATGAAGGTGGTGTCTTATTAATATGATGTGTAAATGCAGCTTTTGTTTATAGTGTTTGAAGTCAAAATCAAATCCTGCAGTATCAGTTAGCTATCTTCCTTGGAAGTTGAAGAATAGCATAAAAAGCAGGAATCTGGGAAACATTGTTTAGATCGGTTATTGTGATGTGGAACAGAAAAGAGATGGGATGCTTTAGAGCTCCGTCAAGTAACAATTGAAGTGTTCTTTTAAAGTACATATTTGCATGCCTGCCTGCCTGGTTGAGAAGCATCATAGAGCCTTGATAAACCCGTGTCATGTATTTGGTTTATTTCGATCGAAGCACATGGAACAGAATGCGCATAAGTGCGCATGCTCATAATGTCAACCGCTGGCTCAATACACTACAACTCCTCCCCCTTAAGCCAGTCTCGTACCCCAAAAGTTCAACACAACATGCTATTCTTAAAATAAAGTCAGAGCCCTAGAAATGGGCAGTTCAATGTTCAAAGGTCCAGTCGAGCTGGGGGCTTCCTCTCTCTGGTAGGGTATCTTCTAACAGGAACATGTTCAATCTGGCTCGGCAGGCTGC